GCTGTGCCCCAGCTGGGGGGAGGCGACCTCCCCCCCCCAAAAGCCAGAGGGAATGGGGCGTGTCCTAGCTTGGGGGGGCCACGCATCCCACTAAAAGTGAGAGGGGTGGGGGCGCTAGATTCGGTTCCTCTGCTTTGCATGTGATTTCTGTCAGTTCGTTTTTTGTGGGGGGTGGCGGGAGCTGTGGGTTCTCACTCTGCAACCCTGGGCAGATCTTCCCTCCTCTCTCTGCCTCAGTTTCCTCCATAAAATAAATACCTTGGGGTGGGGGTGAGATTTTAGTTTGATCTGAAGTATCGACTTTGTGTTGCCTTGGCAATGGGAGGGGATCATGGTCAGCAGCGTCATTAGGTATGGTTTGAGGGTGTTACTGTACAAACGTGATTTAAGGGGAGTTGCTTCCTTGCACGCAACAAGGGGAGGCAGTGTAGCCTACCTGCTAGAGCACTGGCCTGGCCCTTGAGACACCTGAGTTCTATTCTTGGCTCTGTTGGGTGATCTTGAGCTGCTTCTTCTCACTGCCTCAGTCTCCCCATCTGTATTATGGGGCTGATGATGCTGACCTCCTTTGTGAAGTGCTGTGAGAGCTACTGAAGGACTAGCTAAAAGTTAGGGATTAGCACCTCTTTGGTGCATGTCTGCACTTCAAGCACGGGTTTTAATCCTCTGGCTTATTGGGTGTATAATACTCCAGAGGAGTGTGTTTCATTAGGGGTCAAATCTTGTGCTGTTGAAGTGGAGGCAAGTTTTGCTTTTGACTTATTGGGCTCAAGCTTGATACAGAGCTCCTCTCTTCTGAGGGGGGAGTTCCTAACTCCTCTGAAATAGCAATGAGATTCCTCTTCAGAGCCACGTAACCCAGAACCATCTCCTCTTCCCCCTCTCAAGATGCTACCGTGTACGTTGGTGGCCTGGACGAGAAGGTCAGCGAGCCGCTGCTATGGGAACTCTTCCTGCAGGCGGGACCAGTGGTCAATACTCACATGCCCAAAGATCGAGTCACAGGTCAACATCAAGGTAAGGCGCTGTCGGGGCCTTTCAAAGATGTGTGTCTGCAAAATAACGCATAGATCCGAATCCTCGTGGTGCCTGGTGCTGTACAAACACTGACCAGCGCGTCCCCAGGCCTGAGTTTATAATCTAAATCATTCTTCTGGGTTTCAGTTTACTCCATGCGTATGTTGCCACTGGTTCTAGGACACAGCACAGACCACATCTCATTTTCATATTGTCTCACTCCAGTTAAAAACATGAACGGCCATACTGGGTCAGACCCCAAAGGTCCATCTAGCCCAGTGTCCTGTCTGCTGACAGTGGCCACTACCAGATGCCTCAGAGGAAGGGATTACAACAGGTAATCCTCATGTGATACCTCCCCTGTCACCCACCTCCAGAGAAACAGAGGGTAGGGATACCATTTCTACCCTTCCTGGCTAATAGCCATTGATGAACCTAACCTCCATGAATCCATCTAGCTCTTTTTTGAGCCCTGTTAAAGTCCAAGCCTTCACCACATCCTCTGGCAAGGAGTTCCACAGGTTAACTGTGTGCTGAGTGAAGAAAAACTTCCTTTTGTTTGTTTTAAACCTGCTGCCTATTCATTTCATTTGGTGATCCCTAGTTCTTATATTGTGGGAATAAGTAAATAACTTTTCCTTATTCACTTTTTCCATGGCCAGTCATAATTTTATAGAACTCTCTCCTATCCCCCCTTAGTCTCCTCTCTTCTAAGATGAAAAGTCCAAGTCTTTTTAATCTCTCTTCATATCGGACCCTTTCCAAATCCCTACTCACATTCTTGTTGCCCTCCTAATCGGTTGCGTTACTTTGAAGAGTAGACACGTGTTCTGGGCTCCGTTACTTTTTAACCCAGTTTCAATGGAGACTTGAGGCTTGTCTACAATTAAAAGAGGCTGGGCAGCTTTGCTAGCAAACTCTCCCAGTGGGGGAGACTGCATATAACAGAATTTTGTAGTTCCCTACATAGAATAAGTTATAGCAGCTAAAGGACTTGCTGGTATCATATGTACATGTAGATCTTTGCTGACCCAGCTTTGCCATGTCGGCGTGTGATTATTTCACACTCCCAGGCAACATAGCAATGCTAGCAAAACTTCCGAAGTGTAGGCCAGCCAGTAGTGAAACTGGTACAGATCCCTCTTTGGAGACTCAGAGCCGTTTAAATCTTTAGCTTGCAGCTGTGAGCTATGGGTGTTAAACCCGGTTCATCAATTGAACTTGATGAGTGTTCACGCGTGCAGCTGCACTAGTTTAAATAAATCAGTTGCAAAATGGCACCTTTAGATCGGTGCTACTTCATGGCTAGATCAGGCTTCAGAGGCCGAGGGCACGAGAAATCAATAGATGCAGGTGAGGGAGAAAGATGATCTGAATTGCAACGGAGTGGAGACGTAGACCGAGGTGGTTCCGGACACTAGATGACGCAGTGAGAGTTCTGTCTGCAGGGGGACAGTTGGCCTCCTCCGTCATTCCAGCCAGTTGTAGATGATTGAGGAGAGAGATTATTTCAGGGAGAGCAGCTGGCCTCCTCCATCATTCCAGCCAGTTGTAGATAATTGAGGAGAGAGATTATTTCAGGGAGAGCTGTAGAGGAGAAGACTCTTGCGTCCACAGTGGAGAAACAAAGGAGGCCTGAGATCAAGCAAGGGGATGGAGTGGGAGGCTGGAGTGTGCCTGGCAGTAAAGGGCTCTGTTGTGGGGGGGGGTGTTTCAGGCTATGGGTTCGTGGAATTCCTCAGCGAGGAAGATGCCGACTACGCCATTAAAATCATGAACATGATCAAGCTGTATGGGAAGCCAATCCGCGTGAACAAAGCCTCCGCCCACAACAAGAACCTGGACGTGGGGGCCAACATCTTCATCGGCAACCTGGACCCGGAGATCGACGAGAAGCTGCTGTACGACACCTTCAGCGCCTTCGGGGTCATCCTGCAGACCCCCAAGATCATGCGGGACCCCGACACGGGCAACTCCAAGGGCTACGCGTTCATCAATTTCGCCAGCTTTGATGCCTCCGACGCAGCCATCGAGGCCATGAACGGACAGTACCTGTGCAACAGGCCCATCACCGTTTCTTACGCCTTCAAGAAGGATTCCAAAGGCGAGCGGCACGGCTCCGCTGCGGAGCGGCTGCTGGCCGCCCAGAACCCCCTCTCGCAGGCAGACCGGCCCCATCAGCTGTTTGCAGATGCCCCTCCTCCTCCGTCGGTGCCGACTCCTGTCGTCACGTCCTTGGGGCCCGGAGTGAACCCTGCAGGTGAGCACGTTCTGGGCAGCGCTCTTGGTGCTTGTAGGGAGCTCTGGCTGCAGGTTTCCAAAGGCAAGAGCAGGGCTGGGGAACCCTTTTTGGGTCGGGGGCCACGGACCCATAGAAAAATCAGTCGAGGGGCAGCACACAAATGAGAAGCAAAAAAACCAAGCAAACTGAGACCTTCAGCGACCTGGCCCCCAAGTGAGAAGGAGAGACAAGCCTTCTCAGATGTGGCCCTCAACTTGGGGGGGGGGAGATAGGCAAGTGGATTTCGAAGCTCGGGGTTGGGGCCAAAAATGAAGGGTTCAGTGTGGGGGCGGGAGCAGGCTGGGAATGAGGATGCAGAGCCTGGGCAGGAGGAAGAGTGTAGCAGTGGGGTGTAGGGTCTGGATGGGAGGAAGGTGCAGAAGGGGGCTGGGGTGAGAGGTAGGATTTGGGATGTGGAAGGTTAGCCGGTTAGCCAGTAAGGCAGAAGATAGGAAATCGTGCTTGCATTTGCATATCTTCTCCCGGTTCTTTTTGTGGAAGAGGCTTTGCTGATATTTGGCCCCGTGTAGACACGGCCAAATGTCAGAAATCCCCCCCCCCCTTCGCAAGACCCTGTAAACCTTGATTTATGAGGAACAAGGGGTCTTGCAAAAGAGGGTTTTTTCCAACATTTGGCTCCGTCTACACGGGGCTACATCAGCAAAACCTCTTCCGCGAAAAGAGCTGGAAGAAGATATGCAAATGCGAGTGTGATTTGCGTGTCTTCTTCTGAAAAAACAAACCAACCCAGCAGTGTAGCCGTAGCCTAAGTATCACTCTCAACAGGTGACACTTACTGGTCCTGGTTCCCTGGTGGGGCCTGGAGCATTTTTCCGCTTCCTACAGGCAGGGGATGCTCCTGCCCCAGGGATGAAAATGGGTTTGTTGAGGTAAACGTGTAACCGCTGCAATGTTCAGCAGTTTACCCACAGCGGGGGAAGGGGTTTGCGGGTAACTCTGCAGGTTTCCTGAGGAGCCCAGGCTCAGCCGTTAACCGCCCGCACCTTTACACGGTCCCGTCCCTAGCACCTAATTGGCGCAGCTTCTGGGGGAGGGGCACAGGAGTGTGTGTGCTGTGTGCGCTGTGCAGGAAAGCGCTCCCTGCAGGCACCATCCATCCTCCCCCGGCTGCTCCCATTGGCCG